TATTTGGGTGGATTGTGGATACGGTAGTCAGGCCGGTGGGTATTTATGAAGGTTGATAAGTACCAGTCTATTTGCTTGTTTTATCGATCTGTATACAGACCTTGGTATATTTCCGTTAACTTACATATGCATACACTGTATATCGGGTTAGATTGAGATAAATAAAGACGGTTTTCTAAAGTACACCTATTCTGTACTTTTGCTCTTGTCACTGCGTACACATTGGCATTTTCGCATGCATCCTTGTTTACCCTCTTGTTGTAAGCTCTCTGAAACAGCTATCTCGATGACTTGTCGAGTAACTGTAGGCATGCGTTTCTTCTTCTGTACCCCATTTGCTCGCCTTCTGATTAGCAACTGAAGAGCCAGAAAAAAAACGATATTAGCCAATTTGCTTGGCAGACTTTGTACCCCATGAGACTCGACGGGCCCGAAAGCATCTTCCTCCTGAGCCATGAGTCTGAACGCCTCGAACGCAGCGATTGTTACCGTCTGTCAGATCAAGTGTTGACAGCCTTTTGGAGCTGACGGCTGGTCGATCTTCTGCAGCATTTTCTCGCTGGTACGAGGCGGAATAAGATTGCTGAATACGTTTGCTGGAAACAACTTTTTCAGTCTTTTGACTTGATAAGATACTTCCTCTGCCTGGGCACCTGATTTTAGTTTTTCTCGGCGATCCTACGCCAAGGTCCATTTAAAGAGAGAATTCTGTATTCCAAGAATCTTGATATTGCTCCGGAGATTATCATTATTTGGTCTGACATTCAAGAGATTGTAGTAAAGGCATCGGGAACCGTGAAGTATACTCATAATCGTGATGTATGCACATACCTAATTATCTATGCATGTACGCAAGAATGCATGCACTTCTTTATGGATGCGCAAGACTGGGTATGCATGTATATATGTGTTTATGTATCAATGTATTTACATAATTATGCATATATGTGTGTATTTTTATATGCATATATATATATATATGTATTTTCGCATGCGTGAATAATGCCGACGAGACCCAGGCAAGGTCGGATCGGGTAGTCGGGCTAGGATGAGAGAGCCTTTTGAAACTGACTGGCGTCCTGTAGTTTCCTATTCAATTAATTATGGGACCCTCAATCACTCGTTTTTGCATTAATTTAGACGC